CTGCACATATGTATGTATAGGTACTGCTGCCGTTTATAGATTTGTCTCTCGAAATATAAATCACACCGACGGTGCGGAAATCCTGCACATTGTTTTCATTCAGGGTGGCTGAAAGTTCTACTGTTTAAATTCACACCGTTGGTTCGGTTTGTAACTATTAGCCTACGAGTTACTGTAAAAAAAGTAATTTTTCGAGTATTCGATTACGTTTTACTGCAAGTAACTTATACGTAATTTAACTTACTTTTCCGAATCAAAATTATTTGTCACTGTATTTCTTCGTGTGATACATTTTAAGCACAACTTGAAAATTATAAATAATTACAATATGTAAAAATATCATATTGGTACGGTTTTCAAGCAGTACCTAACATTTTTGTAATAGCTGTTTAAAAAAAAAAAAAAGTATATTGTAAGGAGTAATTATTTGGAAAATGCATTGTTATTTAAAATGCATTTAAAAAATAAAGAATAATGTGTTAGGTACCATACACAGTTATTGTCTTCTTTGCTTCTTAGATACCTATTGTTGATCGTCATTATACTTATACTAAGGTAAAGTATTGACAAAATAATTATTATAAACTCCATTGAAATGTTTGAAAATAAAAAAATAAAAAGTAACAGTAGTACCTAATGAGTTAAGTTAATTGACTTAGTTAATTTATTTATCCAAAAGTTTACTTGACCAAATGAAAAAAAACTTACTTCAGAATAATTTAGTTACCTATATTTTCATTCTGAAAGATAATTTGTAACAGGTAGGTACAATAATTTAGTTACCAAAACAAAGTTACTCCCCTAACACTGATAATTAAACTACAAATTTATATTCAATATCAGATTTTAGATAAATATTAATCATCCTAGTATGCCACTGTTTATTTAGGTAGTCAAAAAATGTTTTTCTTGTTTTCAGTTATGTTTTTAACTTTGTCTCTACGGGTTATAGTATATTATATTATACTTACCTATATGTCATAATATAATATATACCTAAATGCCTAATGACTTAAATTGTAAATAATTGTGTGTTTTTCTTTCGTAATACATATTAATATAACTAAAAAAAATAAAAACCGGTTGTATCACAGTTCACAATGAGTTATAATACCGTTAGGAAATGTTACAATATTAATTGTATTTAATTATTATCTTTGATTTCTGCGGTTAATGCCACACGGTACAATAATCATTAGATATAAACAATAATTAGGACCTCCTATTATCGAATGGATTCGTAAATTTATTTCTCGCATGAATATATCACCCCCCCCCCCACGAGTTTCTGGTTGAAAATACGACAGTATAGTATAGTGTACATGTAAAACTAAAAAATGGCCTAAAACCAAAAAAAGGTGGGCAAGTAAGTGTCGCTCTGCTGTACAGTAGGTTACAAGTGGGTCACTGTATAATGGATGGTATTAAATTTGAATTCAATGATATAATATCATTGTATAAGAAAAACGATTCTGAGCGGAGACGGTATGTCCTTCTAGGTATAAGACATATTATATACATATTTATGGTATTAAACAAAAAATTGACCTATAATAGGTACCTATAATAAATTCCAAATTAATCATATCACAATATCCATTAGATACTTATAACGCGTTATACATCAACAAAAACCGTGATACTATCACAGATATATAATAGTACACTTTAGAAGTTTCAAGTACCCACGAATAATATTATTTAATCACAACAAAATAACTAAAATAGTTATTCTAGGTTTTTTAATATGTAATTTCGTCCAAATTTGAATTTAAAATGTCTGTAAAAAATAAGTGTGTTCATATATTTTTTAGATTTTTTGGTTATAGTATGAACTATTTATGAGAACCTTTGTGTTGAATTTGTAATCCTTAGCTATAAAAACTGAACATTTTATAATTTATTAATTACAATGATTGATAATTTTCGAGATTTTGATAAATTTTGTCAAAATTTGATCTTTAAATGCTTATAAAAAAAAACTGTGCCTATGTATTTTTAATATTTTTCAACTGCTATTGTAACAATATATCAGGAGCCTTGTATTAAATTTTTACACTTTTTGGTCCAACAGATAAAACTTTATTGATATTTATAGAAAAAAAAACTAAAAAAAATTGAAAGCTGTAAATGTCCATAAACAGCTCAAAAAGAGTCAAAATATTTTCAAAATTGTATGGTGTATAGAAAATGCTAATTTAAACATTCAGTGAAATTTTCATGTATCTACAGTTGTTCGTTTTTGAATTGCAACAAAATAAGGAAATCGCTACATGAGTAATCGAGTGAAAATCCAATGTTGTAAAAATTTGAATTTCAAACGCTCATAAAAATTTAATTTGACTGTCCGGTAGAGATTTTTTTATTGATAAAGGTAGATAATCTTATAAGGAATCTTGTGTTTCATTTTCAAATCTTAGATTTAAAAAGAAAAATTTTTACGAATTCTTAACTCAAAATAATTTGCTAATTTTCGTGATTTTTCCATATTTTGTCAATTTTTGAACTTTAAATGCTTATAAAAAAAAATTGTGACTAAGGATTTTTAATATTTTTCATCTGCCTTTGAAACAACATATTAGGAGCCTTCTATTAAATTTTCAAGCTTTCGCAACCAACAAATAAAATTTTATTGATATTTTTAGAAAAAAAACTAAAAAAAATGGAAAATGAAAATGTCCCTAAACAGTTCAAAATAATTCAAAATATTTTGAAAATGTTATCGTGTATAGAAAATGCAAATATAAACAACCAGTGAAAATTTCATGTATCTACGGTCATTTGTTTTAAAGTTACACCAAAAACCAAATTCGATTTTTTGGAAAATCGATTTTGCGTAAAAATTCCCGTTTTTCCTTAATTTTTATGTTGTTTTTCCCGGCGCTTGTGAAAACTACTGTAAAATGTTTACTTTTGACCCCCCAAAGTACCAACTAGATTCACTTTCCTATCAGAAAAGGTACTATTGAAGAAAATCGAAGCACTTTTACTGTCCCAAAACGTGATGACAGACACAAAAAAAAATATAAAAATATAAAAATATAAAAATATAAAAAAAACACACATCATTGTAAAACCAATACATTCATCGCTCCGCTCAGAATCTAAAATAAAAACGACCGATAAACGCATATATTTTCTCGATCTATAAAAACGAAGACCTACACAGACGAACAAGTCTTCCAAAAAATCACTCTTAGTGGAAGGATCTCATACAATAAACTGCGATTTTTGCACAGCGAACTTCAATCCCCCTTAATACCCGATCGCACAGACAATAATTAATATTTAATACCATAATAATATTACCTATAATAATAATATGTGAATATGTGATACACTGATTCACTCTGAAACCTGTTATCACGTGTACTACAGTCGTATATCATTATATCGCCGCTGCGGTCGTCCGTCTATATATGTACATGCATTTTCGTACCATATAGTTATATATCACATATCATATATAATATTATTGTAGTTCGACAAACATATATTTATATATATATGTCTTACTCGATTCATGAGCATTATAACATTGTGTTATATTCTCGGCCGCCCGGAAGACGCTGGACCTAACCTCTAGAATCTTTTATTGGCTTCTGCAACACACCTGCGTCGATCGATCGATAAACACGTGCACTATACGCGAGTTTTTGACCTGCTCGTCGCAATCGTATGTATATAAAAACTCTAGATTTCTCTGTATTTCCGTTATTGGGTATATCATATTATTATTATTTTCTTCTCATAAACGACCATATGTTTACACCGCGTCCGCCTACTTTCCCTCACGGAAATTTAACGTCCAACATACACGTCGTTGCAGGTTCCAACCCAAAAATAAATGGTTGCTGGAGAAATGGACCAACAAACCGAAGACTGCAACTCCACCGAGTCGTCAGAATTCGTGCAGCTCAAAGTTTGATGTATTCGGATAACTTTGTTTTTAAACATTTAATAAAAAAAAAAGTGGGTAAGTGGATGTCGCCCTGATGTACAGTAGGTTACAAGTGGGTCAAAGTATAAAGGATTTTATTAAACTTGAATTCAATGATATAATATCATTGCATAAGAAAAACGATTCTGAGCGGAGACAGTTTGTCGCTCTGGATATTGTTGTTATTTATTATATCAAGTAAGTTGAACTTAGATTATAATGGGTATTATTATTTTTTATTCGTTTCTATGGTGATAAACAAAGCGTTAAAAATTAAAATCCCATTATAAGCGGTTTTTCGTAATTTGTCGATGGTTTTTCCCGTGGCATTAAATAACTATTGAGAAAATCGAAAAATGACCTTTCTAAAGTACCATCTTGATCCAATTTGCAAAAAAAAAGATAAGGTATTATGTGTTGAAATCGAAGCACTCCTATACTGGTAGACATTTTGTATACAGGATACAAAAAAAAAATAAATGAATAAACGCCATTGTAAAACCACTAGCTTCCTCGCTCCGCTCAGAATCTAAAAAGATAAAGTCCCAGACACAAGTTCAACCGTCACCGCTTTTATCGCATCACTATTATTTTCGTATAATCAATCGTTAATTCGGCCCTTGCAGCACACACTCAAATCCGGCACCGGTGCAGGCCTAATTGGTACACACACACACACATAGAGCGGAAGACGTTTTGAAACACCACACCCCGTGTGACACACAAAAACTGTTTCGTAACGTATATAGTTCGATCGTAAATATGCGTATGTGTGTGTGTCTATATTATATATAGGCCCGGACGCGCGGCTGTTTCGCGTCGACATGTGGCCGCCGCCAGGACACATTTTTTCTTTTCCTCTTTTTTAAAGGGTTAGGAATTTTACTCATTGTGTAATAATAACATCGAAAGAATGCTAATATGCTCCGCAGCGGCGGCCGAAAGGGATTGGGAAAAAGTGGCAGCTGAAGCATAATACTACATATATATTATATACATATTATTATATTTAGTACATGCCCTCGTATTACACACGCACACACAAAAAAAAAAGGTAAAGATGGTCACCGGCGAAGGCACCTGGACCAAGGGACCCTTTGTCAAAAAAACGTTTCTCTCCTTCGTTTTGCGCACCGCCGCCGCCGCCACCGTCGTCGCCGTCGCCTTCATGGCATGCTGCATACAGACGACGAAAACATCTGCAAAAAGGTGCGCGGGGCCGCCACCAAATGTCTTGCGAGACTTTTCGAACAAAGCTCTATTTTTGCAACAGTCTCACAGCTGCACAAGACAGCTGAACTGGTAAAAAAAAAAAAAAATAGCTTCTACACCTAATAAGAATAAAAACTGCAGTAGAATCTAACACACCGCGAAATGTCGTAACGATGGCTAAAGTCTCGCTTATTTATATCGTCGAAAGTCGTATTTTGGAAATCTGAAACGATTCCATTGACTTCTTCAAAACCATTTACTGCACGTAGGTATAATAGTGTTTTTGCATGTTCAATATTATTAGTATTATTATGTAACATAATAATACTTTCACGTCCGACGTGCAATGCTGTCTCACCCGTATATAATATAATATATTATATTTGTTTGATATTATATTAAGTAGGTGGTGTAGTTTTTTTTACTGCGGGTCGCTATCAAACTTTCAAAAAGAGGGACTTATTTTAACCATTAATTCGCAAGCAAAAAAAAACCGAGTAAGTCGCCCTGCTGCATAGTAGTGTCAAACGTACCTTGTCGGGCTTGTCATTTAGTAGGTCACTGTTAAATAGTGTTATACGGATGTGCTTAATTTTAGTTCAACAAAATCATTGTATTCGACGAAAAACGATTCCAAGCGGACCTATATTTCTAAAGATATTTTAGAAAATATGTATTGTTATTAGTAAGTTTCTTTTCTATGTTAGACTAGTGGTATAAATATCTATTGATCTAAATATTTAAAAAATTATAATTTATATAGTAAATACAATAAAAGTTCATGAAAAATGTCAAGTCCCTACGAATAATATTTATTAAATTACAACAAAATAACTAGAATCGTTATTTGTCGTTTAAATATCCAAATTGGTCATCGACTTAATTTGTAATTTTCTGTAAACACAGCTTATGAGGAACCTTGTGCCTATTCAATGTTCAATGTTTTTTACTTGCAAACGAATATATGTTATCACTCGTCATACATAGATCAAAAAAAAAAATGTGATAATATTAAAATCTCTATAAATATTTTTCAATATATATCAACATGTCTAGAAAATGCTAAAATAAATATTCGGTGAAAAATGAATGTCTACAGTTTTAATTCTGGAATTACAACAAAAATAAAAATCTCAGTTTATTGTAATTTTTTTGCCCCTATTATTTTATAACTTACTACTATATACTTACTATTATACCAACTAGAACCAATTTGACACCAAATACCAACCTCAAAATTAAATATTAAAGCATTTTTACTGTCCCAAGTCGTTGTAACATTTACAGTCATCGCTTTTCTCAGAATTTAAAAATAAATTAATATATAAAAATTGTGTTTAGCTTTGTTCCAACTGTACTAATCTTTGACATCTTACTCTTGGTCGATACCAAATTGGTGGAAATTGCCATCGGGTTTCCCCTTAATAACTAACCGGGCGTCTTAATTTGGTTTGGGAATATATTGCAGGAAAAGATTATTTTTTACACGTTCCATATTTATTTGGGTATCCAAAGAAAGTTTACAATATTTAGAATCAAGGAAATTCCACAATAACAATATTGCAATGACGTAAAAATAAGGAGAAAAATGAAAAATGTGAACATCTAAACAAAGACCACTCGATTCGACGACGAATAACGGACACTCTCGCAGTAATGTATTATATTATGATGATAATTCAGTTAGATTAATAAATTATAATATTATATTAGAAACTCGAATGAACTGGGATAGGTATGTTTGTTTGACACAATTTATCTATATATATCCACCATATCCATTTATCATTTATGATATTATAATTTATATTATACAACTGAAAAGGACCTACCTAACCTATACTGATCCTATATCTATGTCATATGCATATGCATAAGTCATAAGTAGATCATAATAAGTAAAATCCATCTGACTTTTAAAAGTGATATAGCTTATCTGACAGTTCGATATTCCTTGTGGGGACTAAAAAACTTACTCGAGCGCTGTGACGATCGGTTTGTCGATAAGTAAACGAGTGTTCTCTAGGTCGAGACTTGTGTTCTTTGTACGTAGTACCCACCGCGACTACTCACTTTGCAGATATTACAAAATGACATATAACTACGGATTTTTTTTATGTATGCGTATTTATAATGTTCCATATTTTTAGACGCAAATATTTTCAGAAAAATAATGACGAGTGCCACACGAAAATCGTTTGAAAAATCTTCCCACGTAGTGTAATAAATTATAATAGTCCATATTGTTACAATATTATTGTACAAAGCGAACGTCGTCGTCCGAGGAGCAGAACAGACGCGTGCGTTTACATTATTATAGACACGTCTTAATTTATAATACACTGCACTAGTCGTCCTTTTTAAAACACACTTCTCTCTAGCAATCTGGTTCGTGGTTCCTGAGAATTCTTCGATATTATACAAAACAGACGTGCGACGTACGCACACCAGATCACACGCTGTAATAATATATTATAGTGCTGCACGAGGAGCAACGAAGTCAGATTCAAACGTCAAATCAATACTGACCGTATGGCACGATAATAAACTGTTTTACTCTCGGAGAATTTCAACAACGACAATATTTATGATCGGGACACGGTTCGATAGTATAATAATATCGTATTATGTATCACAACAATTTTTTTTTTTATATAATATACATTTTAAAATATTTAGACATTTAGTGCACACATGTGCGTATTATACACGCCGCTGCAAGTGGAAACAAATGAATATGTGTTTTGAAGACGATACGTCATATTATATCGAGCGTATTCCACAAGTGGCGTTCACCACAATAGGACTTTGGTCGGGTGTGGTGGGTTGCAAGGGGGAGGGGGGGTCGAGGATTGGCCGACAGGGTCGGCGGAAGGATATTACATGGTAGGGGGTGGGGTAGTTGGTTGACGCGCAGTGCTAAATGTGCGGACCACATTTCGGTTGGTAAAAAAACGACACGTTTTTGAAATCTGTCGTGGGTAATATTTTACACGATATATTATATACATGTCCTACAGGTGTCCTTTTTTTTTGGTGGGGGGAGGAGGGGCGAGGACCGGAACCCATCCGGTCCGTCTGCGACAACTATATTATCATATACAATGCGTTAAAATATTATGCACTCATATTATGTATCATAACAATCGTATATTTTATTTTATTGTATAGGTACCCTGCGACTCATCGGTCGATCTATAGGACGTGTTCGCCTGCGCGTAACTCGTATAATATGTCTTTATATAATATAAATGCCGGTTTTTCGTTTACTTTCGCTTCGGCCGGCTTGTATGCGTTCTTGTGCTTTTTTTCCTTTCAGAACCCAGTCTTCCAGGTTTCTCCGAAAATCTGGTCGGAATAATATTGTTGTGTTAATTCGTCCTAGTATGGATTCCACATTTCCCAGCAGCGTGTAAACTGTATATAAGTACGCAGTAAATAACGATATGATATTGTATAATAAATTATTATTATTATCCATCGAGTCCAGTTAAAAAAAAAAAATGTGCTATATAAGCGAAATGGAACATCGAACTAGTCCATTCGTTTATTATACTGCCCTGCTACCGGTAAAAGCGGTAGGTAGGTACCAAACTACAAAACCAAGTTTTATATTTTTTTTTATAAAAATTAATTAAATATTTGAAGTTTTATATATTCTTATTAAAGCTGTTAATTTTGTGATAAATAAATTATTGTTTTTCTCACAGTGAAGAATTTACTGCTTTTCACTCTAACTTTACCCACAGATTAAAATACTAGTTCGCAGTAGTGGCGTAGTGCACACTGCACAACTATTATGAAATGCAATATCATCAACATAATTTAGCATTGCTAGTAGAAAAACATTCAGTAATCAAATAAATAACAAAAATATATTTATGAATTATTAATAAATACCTAGTTGCTTATATATTGTTTGTAAATCGATTCATATCAATGAAATATCTTTAATTAAATTCAGTATATTATTCAGTAATTTTGTATTTCTTTTTTTAGATTTTGTGTGATAATGAGAGGGATGGTGAGGGGAACAAAAATCAGGGATGGGCCAAAATATGTTGGCCCTCTTATGGTAAAATGTCTGGCTACATACCTAGCCCATTTGTAGGTATTGTAACACAACACATGGATAAGACATCCATATTTCTAATATACACGGTATACTGTGAGTCTATTAGTTACCATAATGGCCATATGCGATTAAAGATATTAGTTTAAGAGAAAGACAATCCGAAATATGCTGATTTTTGTCAGTGTTTTGAAGTTATTATTACAAAGTACAAGCTGAAAAATAAAAATATATTTAAATTTTTGTATGGACGGAGTAACATGGTTCCACTTCAAAAAAATATCATCAATATTCATTCCTTATCACGGCGGTGATGATGTCACAATTTAATTAATTATAACCATTTTGGTACCTAACTAGTATATATTCTTCGATCACACTTGAATGCATGTTCATCTATGTATATATAATATTATCTACCTATCCCATTAATATTATAAAAGATTACTCTATACATCTAGAGAGTTAGTTTCTATCCCAAGAATTTTATCTTCAGCTGCGAGGGGATCTCATTTTACCCCGAGGGATTGGCGAATGCTTTCCTTATACAGTTATAATATTTTTCAAAAACACCAACGCCATGGCGTCTTATCTGTAGCACAACTCTGAGTATAGCGAAAGGCAGCGTTCGGCAGAGGTCATGCTGCGTGAACCTGTCAGTAAATACTAAAGTACCATTATCAAACATTAAAATAATATTTATATAATATTATAGTATCATATTATATACAAAAACAACAATAATAATAATATAATAAATAATGATGACGGCTGGGGCGGCCTCTGCGGAGAGTATATTATGTTGCAGACATGTAGATAATATTATTGTAAAAAGTGTTTTACGGTTTATATTGTTTTCTTATTTTTTTTTTTCTTCTGTATTCGTATAAACATATTATGGAAAAAAAAACACAACTAACAAGTGTAAAATATGTGATGACATAAATTTCAAAACGCGCCAAACACGTGCAGCCACGAAAGAACGACGGGCGTCCTGCGATGGACATCACTTCGGAAAAAAC